GGGCTCCCTGTCATTTCTGCTGGCTCACGAGGAGACACCTGGAGCAGGAGGCCAGCTACAGATCAAGGGTGGAATCCTCAGGGGTCTGGGAGGATGGAAATCTCCAGGTGACAAATCCTGCTCTTCCTCAGGGCAAGACACGGAGGTGCCTCTGGATATGGCCGCGGAGCAGCCTGCTGGCCCTAGAGCCCTCTGAGAGGAATTTACCCTTTGCCATTGAATATACCTTCTTCCCCACAGAGTACCCCCCTAAGGCTCCCCACCCATCCTGCCTCACCACCTCCTGTGGCTGACTGATGAGAAAACAGAAGAAGAAGAACAAGCGTCAGGGCTACCACCCCGTGTGCCTCTTACAGGCTGATCTCTCTGAGGGCTGGAGGCGGCCGAGGCTGCAAAGAATGAGAAAGCACATCGTTCACCAGCTCTGAAAATCCGCCCTAATTATTGGTCAGCTCCAGGCTGGCCATCGTGGGTTGGTGTTGATAGTCTCTGTCAAGTCAGTTCCGACTCATGGCGCCCACGAGTGCAGAGTAGAACTGGGCTCCACTGGGTTTTCAAGGCTGTGACCTTTCGGAAGCAGGTCACCAGGCCTTTCTTCCAAAGCACCTCTGGGTAGGTTAGAACCACCAATCTTTCAGGTAGTAGGTGAGCCCTTAACCATTTGTACCTTCCATTTGCATTAATGGCTGAAAAATATATGATTGTAAACTAAAAGAATTCATGCCCTTTTGAAGGTCTTTCTGGGACAGGGACTCTCCTCTGTCCCACTGAAATCACACCAATAAGTGGATATTGGGTGTCCCCACCCCAAGTGGCCTGCCTCATGGTGAGTTTGCATGTATTTGTATTATTCATCGGGTTTTCAATGACGAATTTTTTGAAAGTAGATCACCAGGCCTTTCTCTCGAGTTGCCCCTGGGGGGACTGGGAGCAAAAGCCTGCTGGACAGCTGCCAGCCCCGTTAATCATTTGCACCACGCAGGGACACCAATCCTTCTATTGCTCTCCCTTAACTTTCAGAATTCCCTCAACGATTTCCCACAAGTACACAGTTCCCACAAGTGTTCCCCGCACAGGCGCCTGCTCTCCCACTCACTCTCGGTTCTGGCTGCTTTGTTGTTGTTCTTCCCCCAGAATGGAAGCATGGAATACATCTGGCAATTCCATTTCGTTTTCCATAACTCTGCGGGAATTACAGAGTATACTGTAGTACCAGCCAGGTAGGAGATGACACTTCCTAAGCCAACTCCAAGGGGACAGCCACACACTTACACTGCTGGCATGTCCCTGATGCCACCCTCCCACGAGACAGCTCAGAGGACAGCCGTCCTAATCTTCATCTATAACACTCTGCTTCCTACTTACTTGCATTTCCCATATCATAGACTCCAGGCTTCTGAGCAAAGGATAGAACACCTTTTCTTCTAGAACCCATTTCTTGGACCAAAAACATCAACATGGGCAGTGAAAAAAAAAAGGTCATTTTAATACCATAAAACATTCCTGATACCTGGGTGGACAAAACGGTGCAAGAGGACAGTATGGTGACTTGACTTCAGAAATGAAGTGCTACTTGGAGATTGTAAGAAATGGTTTTCTAAGAAAGCACTTTCGGATACGGCTTAATTTTTCCAGCAGTATCACTAAGCTCACAGGAAAACACAGATAGCCCTGTTTCCTCCCGTTAAATAGAGCTTGGCTCGAATGCTGTTAAGCAGACGGAATGAAACAAAAACGTGCAAGTATCTTTCAGGAGGAGGGAAACGCAGAAGCCAATTCAACAATGCTAGGGTCTGTCTGTCTTTCAGTCCTTCCAAGAGTCTGTAAAATAATTATTAAGGGCAAAGGTTAGTTTACCAAAAATATTTTCCCCAAAATTTGTAGGCGTTGGAGGACACATCTGTTTTAAAAAATAAATATAGGTTAACTGCATATTGTACACACTCGTAGCTTTTAAGTGATGCCCAGTCACTTAAGGTCTAGGCTTTATATCATACTTAATTACGTATTTCCTCAGTCTTGTGGAAGCTATCCGCAGTTACGAGTATTAACCTTGGCTACAGGGGTGTTGACTGACACAGTAGCCGCAACAATGAGCCCAAACATAACAGCGATTGTGAGGGTGGTGCAGGGCTGCTCTGAGCTGGAAACAACTCAATGGCACCTAACAACAACCCGGAGGTGTTCAACACGAGCCTGAATAATGAACAGAAATCCTAATAAAATGCCTGCCTTTAAATAAAAAAAAAGTCTAAAAGTAAATTCCAAATGCAAATGTTTGAATGTTATACTTGAAAAATCAGGAAAAATGTACTTGAGTAGAATTGTATTTTGAGGGTTTTTGCCTGTCTTAGTGTGTCTGGTCTAGGGAATTTGACGGGTAGATCATGAAAATTCTTCTTAGGTGATCAGATAAGTCTCCCCAAAATTTAATCAAAATTGGGCTGCAGGCTATTTTTAAATAAAAACGTTCTGAATACTGTATTATACTTTGGTAAAATATTCATGGAAGAAAGGCCGTGTTGTAGATTACTCCCCTGCCAGTATTATTACCTTTAGTGCGTCAAACTGTCTGCTGAGTAATACAAAACAGCAAATAAGCCGTCTGCAGATCGAGCTCTGAGGAATTATCCACTTCTTCTTCGCAAATATATACATACAAAACCAGAAATGTTTACTTTTTCTTGCCAGAGAAAATGTTTGGTTATTTCCATCGGTGACTACAATCTTTGCAATTACTTTTTTTTAACAAAAGGAGTCCTGAATTGTCATAACCTATCGCAGTTCAGATCCAGGGAGATCTTTATTGGTAAGCTGTCCCCAGCTGTATCTATACATCTGCATCTGTATCTATATCTGTGTCTATGCATCTGTATCTATGTCTGTATCTATACATCTGCATCTGCATCTATGTCTGTGTCTATACATCTACATCTGCATCTATATCTGTGTCTATACTGTCTCTATGTCTGTGTCTATACATCTGCATCTGTATCTATACCTGTGTGTATACATTTGTGCATGTATCTATATATCTGTGTCTGTATCTACATATCTGCATTTGTATCTATATCTGTATTTATACAACTGTATATGTATCTATGTGTCTGTATCTATATCTGTATTTATATATCTGTACCTGTATCTATACCTGTATATTTCTATATTTGTACACATACATTATACACATATAAACATCCACATATATATACATCCACATACATTATATATATACATAGACATACCCACACCTTTGCTTTTCTCCTTTTGCAAAAAAATAAAAGGTTTCATAGTATTTTAGACTTTGTCCAGTGATGAAAACCCGTTCCCCCTCCTCCTCACTATCCCACCCAAACTGAGTTTCCCTTTGAATCACGAGAAGACAGAGAGAAGCCGAGACGGCCATCAGGAAAGAAGCACAATCACATCAGCAGCAGCGACGTCTCCCGACACACGCGACTCGGAACCTACCGGGGCACCTGGGCGTCTTGTGGGCCACGGCCGTGCCGCTGATGGGCCTCCCGTTGGGCGTGACGCACCAGCAGTATCCCGTGTAGCTGTGACATTGGACCTGTGAGAAATGACACCATGGGGCGCAGTCTCCTGGGAGCCCTGCTTGAAGATAGCCCTGCTTCTACAGCTCCGTTTGAGACAAAGGTCTCAGGTGAGCAGCGGTTGGCAGGTGCTGCATTTGAGCTCTCAGCACTGACCACAGGATTTTAGAGACAGAGGCGACCAAAGGCACTTTGCGTGACGCTTGGTGTGGGCTGGCACATCACTGTTACGCTATCTAACCCTCACTGCCTGGGAGATGCAGCCTAAGCCCTCATCAGCCAGTGAGGACCCAGAGGCCAGAGAAGCCAGGACAACTGCTGGCTGCTATTTGCGGTCAGCGGCAGAGTCGGGGAAGGACACTGTGCCCAGCTCTTACCTCCCTCCCAGGTATCGTCCTTCCCCGGGCTCCCCCACCCCACCCCTAGTCACCGAGAAGACGCTGTCTTCACCGCCCCCCATCCCTCACTCTCACTCACTCTCAAAAGTCAGATGAATGTTGCAAAAATACATAGAATTTAATTATGATCTGATGACTCAAAGGCATCTAACATAGCAGATCACGTTTTACTTCTCTCCCCAAAACTATGTTAGTTAGCATTGCACGTTAAGAATTCTTTTTTCTTAATAAGGAATAATAGTTGACAAGCTTGACTATTGCACTCGAGACAGACACTTGGGTTATTCCCTGGGCACCGCCTTGGCCCCTCGCCTGTACCTGCATCAGGTTGGACTCCAGGCTCCCTAAGCTCACCCCCAGCGCCTGAGTGGTGTACCTTTTGGTGTGTGCTCCCTTAGAAATAAATTAAATTCTACCCAATAGGCCAGTTCACCACACTGGGAAGCTGGCCCAAGCCAAGTTCATTGAGTAATGGAGGTGAACTTCAATGCCAATGACAGAAACACCTGCCCCAGGTAAGGAATCAATGAACTCATTTGCACACTCATTTATGAAGATGGCCTTGTCACTGATTAACCTCCCGGGATAACACACGTTTCCTACTTCCTAGTCCTGCCCCCCCGGCACCCTCCCCCCC